CGGGCGGCAGCGTGCGCGTGTTCCACGTGGGCCCCGAGGGCTGGAGGGAGGTGTCCCACGACGACGTGGCCGACCTGCAGGACATCTACGGGGAGTGAGGGGAGATGGGGAATAAATGGGGAATAAATGGGATTTAAATGGGATTTAAAGAGAGTTTGTGTGGTGGTTTATACGGGGGGTTTATGGGGGTTTTTTGGGGTTTTTTTATGATTTTTTAGGGATTTTTTGAGAATTTTTTAGGGGTTTTTTGGGGGTTTTTTTGGGATTTTTTAGGGGTTTTTGGGGGATTTTTTAGGGGATTTTTTGAGATTTTTTTGGGATTTTTGGGGGATTTTTTGGGATTTTTTAGGGATATTTTTGGGATTTTTTAGGGATTTTTTCGCAATTTTTAGGGATTTTTTTGGGATTTTTTGGGAATTTTTTTTTAAATTTTTTAGGGATTTTTTATGATTTTTTTAGGGATTTTTTACAGATTTTTTTGAAATTTTTTAGGGATTTTTTTGCGATTTTATGGGGATTTTTTTGGGATTTTTTAGGGTTTTGTTTGGGTTTTTTGGGATTTTTTTTGGGTTTTTTTGAGACTTTTTGGGGGATTTTTTGAGATCTTTTAGGGATTTTTTTGGGATTTTTTGGGATTTTTTCGCAATATTTAGGGATTTTTTTTTTATTTTTTCGGGACTTTTTGGGATTTTTTTGGGGGTTTTTGGGGATTTTATGGGGATTTTTTTGGGATTTTTTTGGGGACTTTTTGAGATTTTTTAGGGATTTTTTGGGATTTTTTCGCAATTTTTAGGGATTTTTTTTTGGATTTTTTCTGATTTTTTGGGATGTTTTTGGATTTTTTTGGGGATTTTTTGGGATTTTTTTGGAATTTTTTAGGGATTTTTTTGGGGATTTTTTTGGGATTTTTTCGGAATTTTTTGGGGATTTTTTTGGGGATTTTTTGGGGGTGTTTTCGGGGTTTTTTGGGCATTATTTGAGATTTTTTTAGGATTTTTTCTGATTTTTTGGGATTTTTTGGGGATTTTTTGGAGATTTTTTAGGGATTTTTTTTTGATTTTTTGGGTGATTTTTT